CACTTTATTAGTTTCTGCTAATTTGCACGCTACAGATATCAGGTTTGTCAGCCCGTGATTAGCCAGGTCACTGTTGCAATCCTTTTGAGAAGACGGCACCACATTAGCCACCTCCAGTCTTCAGGTATCAAGGCAGTTTTAATCAAGAATGCGGGCACCGCAGTTAGTACTTCAGTCTGTTTTGTTTTTTTTTTAATCCTATTCTTGCAGAATTATTGGGAGAACATCGTCTGGTCCTGGTAATTTATTAATTTTCATTTCAGTCCATTTGTCCCACGATTTCCCCTAGTAACATTTTTATTTGAGGCAGATCATCTGATTGGCCCCATAAAGAAAGATTCTAGTGTGGGAACCTCCTCAAGCTCTTGCACAGGGAATATAGAAACAATAAATCACTTGTAAAAATGTGCACTATTGCCTTATCTTCAGTGAACACTCTTGATCACCTATGGGCCCTACTGACTCTTTGGCAGATTTCCTGCTGCTGATATAATTGAAACAAGATTTATTATTAGTCTTGATGTCTTTAGCAAAATTGTTCCTCAAAATCTTTCCTGGGCTGCCTTAAATCATTTTACTTTTAGCCTGTCACAGTTTATAGTCTTTTCTATTTTCTGAATGAAACTTTAGCATTTAAGGATGCCCTTCTTCTTTAATAATCTGCTTACTCCTGCTGTTTAGCTATGCCAGCATCCTCCTACTCTTTTTAAGTCTTTCTTCACATGTGGTATGCATTTATTTTGTGCCTCCAGTATGTCCCCCAAGAGTCTGCATGTCATCTGTAAGGATTTAACTCCCCTAGCTAATCCTTTTAGATTCTTTCCAACAAGTATTCTCATTTTTATGTAGTTTTGGTTTTTGAAGCTGAGCTCAGCTATGGTGATATTTATTTGGCTTTCACTGTCCCTTCAGGGATGTTTTATGCAAGCACATAATGGCTGCTCTTAGAGAGCAGCTCTTCAACTGTAACATTTTGAACTAGGTCCTGTGCGTTACTCAGAACCAAGTCAAGCAGTTGTTTCGACTCCCCAACCTGGTTGCTTCACAAAACAGACGTCTATTACACCTAGAAATCTAGTCTTTGTATCACGCAACAATGTCTAATCTATGGAGGAGGGGAGAGTTAAAATTTCCTTTGCTTTTGCATACCTTAATCTTGTTTCAGTTCTGCTGAGGATAATCCATAAGTAATTCAAACCACTGTGTGATCATTATCAATAGACAATACGTGGGAGGAGAGAGGGGAGAAAAGGGAGACAGTTTATTTTTAGGAAGTCTTGAAAAGTAAATCTGAGTTTGGTTTCTATAATGGGGTAAATAAATAACACTTTCCAGGCAGGCAAACCTAGATCTGAGTATCCTGGGAGTCTTGTGTCTGCTTCTTAAGTATTCTTTGAGAGAGAAAATGTAAAAACAAATGTAGCTCTTGCAGCAAAACAAAATGATGGACTCGTAAGTATACCTCTGTAAGAGCTACCAACCTCCCTGAGTTAGTAAGCTGTGTATCACAACATAAAGGCGATACAATGCTCAGATAAAGAGCTGTACTCAGATATGCTCTGTTGAAATCCCTCAGTGAAGTATGTGAGGACTCTTACCAGCTCTGGTGAAAAGGAAATTGGCAGGAAGTACATTTCTACGCTTACAAGGCACATTTCATGATCTTGGAGAGAGAAAATTTAAATTAATCTTTCCTACTTTTTTTCTTTCTTGTCAACAAAGGAAGCCTCTTAACAGCATTTTCTAAAATGCTAGTGCTACTCGCACCCTTGACGGGCTGTAGCTCCTACCGTAGCCGATGTCTAATTGCTGCATCAAACTGTAGAAACATGACTTCTCTGTGAATGGCTAGCAGTTGGGCTACTTTGCTGGGATCCAGCGGATTCTGAAGGCTGTCAATCATTTTCTGTATCTCTTGAAGCTCCGTCCCTAGAGTTCCAAGAACAGTTTAACAGATATATGTGAGGAAATGCACATAAAATATATTAGTTCTATATCCTCTTTTTCCCGCCAACTGTTTTGTACTTCACAACTTTTTTCATTTTTCCTCTTTCCCCTGGGAGGCAGAAGGATGCATTTACATCTTTTCCAACACACTACAAAAACATGCTTTAAGAAAACAGATTACAGCAGCTGGAGAGTTATGAGGATATGGTAAGGACAGGGAGAAAGAGGCATAGGAATGAAAAGACACAAGTGTCTCAGAAGAACGGTTCTTTTATTATCCTCATCTATTAAAATAGCCAATTACTATAAAATGCCAACAAGAAAAGTGCTAGACTGCATCTCAGATAGTTATATCAAATTTTCCTTGGATATAACTTTAAGTTTGTCAAAAGGGCACAGAACCAGGTGCTGAAATGGCATTTTGCACACCCTAAAGACCTAAACTGGTTACTACCTGGTAGGAGATACTTCTCCAACTCAGCTGGAGAACTTCTCCAACTGATTTCAACAAAATACTCTCAGGGCCCCTTTCTGCAAGTTAGCGAATGTTTTTGTGCTGAGGCTCTGAAGTTTATTCATTTATTTTAATCCTAGCATGAAACTTCTTAAAGTGTCTATAAATCAATATCGTTATAAGAACCCCTGTTCTTACTTGGTATTTGTAAGAAATTTGTGTATAGCACTTGACCTGCTCCCACAAAAGTGATTTAACGTCAAAGCACCTATTACAGAAAACCAATGTTCTCTCTGTCAGTTTGCAGAGACTGCCATCATTTAAGGAAGTTCAATGTTCTGACTTGTGGGAAAGGGGAATTAATTCTGAACAACAGCTACAAAAAAGATCTCTTGGTCAGGAACAATAGAGTTAAGCTGTCTGTACAAAATGTGTTATAGAGACAGCAGAGCACTGAGGACACCATTGTACATATTTTCTGTTTCAAAAGCATGGTAGCTAGGCATACACTCTAGGTATGCCTGAAATTAAAATACATTGTATATGATATTCCTCCTATGTTTGATTGTGTGGTTTCTCATTGATCCCTGAGCTCAGTCTTCTTGTTTGTTTCAAAGCCCATTAAACACGCTAATTTACGTAAGCTTTCTCAGCCATATACAAATGAAGTTATTAATACACACTCAATGGTACAACAAGCACACACCACAGAACACGGAGTGCTTTTTGTTAGAGAAAATAAGCCCGTTTCAAAATTAGACATTCATCAGCACAATGTTAAAATAAAAAGCCGTAACAGGTATTTGTGATTCACTGAGTCCTTTCTTCTCTTCTAAAAACATTCCAAGAAGATAAATTCAGAACAGATAATAAAAATCTTACTCATATAAAAAGAAAAATACATGAAGGATCACACAATAATCTTTTATACATTTTTTTTTCCAATTCTTGAAGAATTTTATATTTTTACCTATTTTTCACTGATGTTTTAAAACTTGCTAGGACAGAAGTGAAGCTGTGCAGGTATAGTTTTCACTCCTGAATTGTGCTGAAGCAGTGCCACACATACAGAGAAACACGTGCATTTGTAGGTGCTATAAAAACAGTCCATCTACACAACACACACACACACACACACACACACACACACACACACTCACACAGAAGCAGCAGGAGGTATGCGTAATGTACCATGTTTCATAACCCTATCTCATTCTACTGCAGGAACAATCCAATGGCTGAAAAACGTTTCATTGCCAAGAGCGTTTTGACACTTGGGATAGGATTATCTCATGTAACTTTTGTTACCTAAATATGAGGTATAAAGTTTAATTTGGCTCCTGCAATACTACTAATAACACTACTTCTACTAAGTAGAAGAATACAGGTGTCTCCAAAGAGGAATTCATCCCTCTCATTTCCAACACATTTTAGCTTGAGATGAGCAACTCCTCTGAAGGTGTCTTTGTAACAGTGTCCAGTGAAAGTGTCCAGTGACACCACAGATATCTAGTTAGTAGTCAGATACCTAACTACTGGCCACTAGAGTAAAGCTAGATAAATCCCATTCCTGCAGTACAGTTTCATACGAGCAGCAGGTCAAATCTATTATGTAAACTGATACTATTTCTGCATTCACACATGTTCATGTAGGACACAGCACACATTTCATCTGTTTTATCCTTTGGAAAGAGAATCGAGTGACAGATTTACTCAGGAAAACAAAGCTTGCCTTTTTTAATCTTCTGGTAAAGATAAAATCATCATGATCTAAACAGATGGCTTAACAGAAACTTTCTAGAGTGGAAGAGCAATTTTTGGGCCATGTTTTCTGTTCCCTTCTGGAGCAGAACTTTCGAACCTTGTAGGTATGTTGCCTTTCTGTGATATTGTGACAGATCTGTGACGCTGTGTGCACAATCTTGAAAAGTGGCAGCCTTCCACCAGTAAAATGGAGCAGGGAAGAGGAAAAATATGACTGGAATTTTCTCATGACTTCATACTCCACTGAACATCTATCTCATACTTGAACTTTCTTTGTGCCTGCCTCAATGTCAGCACTTCACGCTCATTTGGACCCAGAGAAACATGCAGTATTTGTTACTTACCAATCCTTTCAGTCCCTCCCCAGTCCGGGGTCAGAGGCTCTGGGTTTAAGGCATAGAAACAGTTTGATGAATTTCCTAATTGAGCAAAACCCAGGAGATATGAAACCATGTCATGAAGTGCACCAACAATTTCCAGGCTCAGGTGGAGAGCTCTGAGAGCAGCCTGCACACAAGATAAATGCACAAAGATGCTATTCAGATGACAGGCCCTAAGAAAATACACTAAAGTAGCAAATCTTTTTGAATAAATATTATGACTGTAGTGCTCTTTGAAGTCTGTCAGCAGCATCGTTCAGATGATGCCTCAACATTTAGGTTGTCACTAGTGATGGACACTTCCAAAGAATATAACTGTATCTTCACTGAAGAATTATGTTTTAACATCCAATCTACTTTCACACTGAGGGAGGAACTGCAGCACTAAGATGTTGCTACCTACTGGCAGGACATGCTCTGGTTCACTGCTCTAGATCACTCCAGCGCAAAATGAGACCTCCCAAGGAGGGCACTGGGGCTTCCAGGGCAGCGGTCCTTGCTGACTGCATTTGTGACGGCAGCACTAGTTACAGCCAGAAGCTCCGGTTGGGCTCACAACCCCAAATGCTAACATCCATCACCAAATTTCTTTCATGCTTAGAATACCAGCCCCAGCTGTCACCATACCATCTGGTGCCACAACTTCTGGGTTAGAAACTGCTATCTCAATATAACCATCTTTTTTACTGTTTAAATCTAGATAGATATGCCTGGCCAGTCTGTTTCCTTTTACTCTACAGGAGGCAGATAAATTAGCAAAAGGAGAACTTGCAATTTCCTTTCCCTCACATTCTCCCCTCCTTCAAATCCAGCTCCTTCACTGACACAGCCACCCAAGTACCTTCTCCTTCCTGTTCTGTCTCCTCAGTCTGGAAGGAAGAGGTAAAAATAATTCAGAGGACATAAAGGTTTACAACTTGTCACTTTTGTGTACACAGGGACAGGGAGAATATATCGATAAACTGGTGGGATGGGTAAGGACTGGGGAATGCTTTTACATATAGGAAAACAGAACACTGAGTGTCTGGGTTTTCTATTAACTACTTTTGATCTTTACATTAAAAGATCCTTCCTTTCCTTTTGCTCCTGTCTCTGTCTCTAAACCAAGAGGACAGAAGCTCTCTCCTTCCTGCCAGGCACATTTCAGCAACTTACTTCCTCAGTGGTACATCCTAGCTACATCCAGATTAAAAACACTGATGTTTACTTCCCTATCTCCAATGACAAGCAAAATTGTAATACGCATGAAAAATTTGGGTGGGCCAGCACCCAGACAAAATCTCCTTGTGTGAGAAACACTGACCTTCTCCGGAAGCATTTTGAACATAATCAGCACTTCAGAAGGGTGAGGGATGAACCACAAGTTAAGGAAGGTGCGCCCATCTGGAGACAGCAAACAGCGTGGTCGAGGATGGAATGACCTGAGTTATTGCAAGAAGTGAGAGATCTTTACCATTTTGAGACTTATTTCTTCCTGCCACTTTCCAGAAATGTATTTTAAAATGAGTTTGATAAAACTTTTACTTGGAAGTAGGATTTGCCTCTAGGCTTTGGAGCAAGTGTATTTTAGACTTAAAATTATCTAGGTACTATTTCAGGTGTAAAATATACTGCAAACATTTGACCTCAAAAACCTGCTGAATTTGAGAGAAATTTTATCTCTAGCTGATTTTCAACCAAGTCCTAAGACAGGTCAGTTTAGGAGTTTAACAAAGGCACTTTTGAGTCAAGCTCAGTATGGCCATTTACTCTAATGGCCCTAGTGTTATCAAAGTAGTACCATTTATTAAAAATTAACACACAAAGGACCAGGCATACAGAGATGCTCAGCAACGCGCTCTGGAAAGACCATCATCCAAGAGGATGGCCATCAATGATTATCCTGCAAAGTTATAATTGCCCCATCCAAGGCACTGGGAAGGCCCAGTCTCACAAATCCCAGGAGCTTGACGCCCTTCAGCATCTCTGGGAAGCTGTCATGAGTTTTGAAGAATTGTCCCCTTGTTCTTTAACGTGACAGGCAAAGTGGTGGGGCGGAACTGTTTTGCATCATTTCCTGACTTTGGCATTCTCAAAAATAGCAAGTGTTGATTCATGAGCACCACTTCCAAGCCGTGTTAAAAAGATGCTAGTCCCAAAATGGTGACCAAAGCATCTGATTTATAAAGCAGGGGCATGAGATGCTGTCATTAGAGCATTAAGGTTCTCTTCCCCCAGGAACATGCTTTTGCCATGCAGAACACAAGAACTGTAACTTTTGTGCTCCAGAGAGACAGGCAGAGCAAAGCAGCAGACAGGCACTAAAAATCTATATAATAATTTTGAAGTACTCTGTGCCATTACTAGTAGGTAGTCCACTTTTCTTGCCAGAAGATATTAAAATACAACATTTGTTACATGAATAATGGATTTTCCCGTTCTTATATACAATGCGTCATTTCTTGTTTCCAGATAGATGAAGATAAAGGACAATATGCAGCTAGCACATATAGAGATATAAATTCAGCTTGGAGATTACATTCAACTCATTTTGAAGTAAGTTTTGCAGGGTTTTTTCCTTCTTTTTCCTGAAAAAAATAAGGTTGAATGCAAAAAATAGACCTTTTGTTTGGGTGGGGTGGAGTAATGAAAGGTTAAATACTCTGTGTTGTAAGCAAGGAAATTATATTCAGGCAAAGTTTGTTTAACCAGCTGTTCCTGACTAACTTTTGCAGAAGACTGATAAGCACAAATTGTACCCAGGGAAACTGCACAAGTGACATTTTTCAGGGTGAGACTAGTATTCACACTCTATTGCTTTTATTTCCTCTATCTCACATGACAGTACATAAACTGTATTAACAGGGAGAGAACAAGCACGGCAGCTACAGCTTGTCCCAGGGCAGGAGCACACATGCTGTCCAGACGTGCTTCATCTTTTCAGACCTTAGTGAATAAGAATTTCAGTCAGTCCGTCAAAACCGGTGTACTTCCTCATGGCAGTACATACACATCATCACATCGTGTCAGCGGTGGCCTCTCCGCAGCCACGTTCGGCAACGGGGCTACAATGTGGCACAGAAGTTTTTCAGACAGAAACCAAGGACAACCTGCTGCATGCAGAGGAGCCCAGGTGCCGCTTACTCCCACGTCACACAGCTGGTTCAGAACACCATCTCTCAAGAAACAGCTAAAACATGGTTTAGTCCAGGATAAAGCAGATTTTCTACATTACATAAGAAAAATACCCTAAAAAACAAGAACCCTCTCACCCTCCGGTATGCTATAGCTGTTTACACGGTGACTAGTATATTTGAAATGTGTACGGACAAGAGCTATGGCCTAGTTTTCTATGCAAAACCTGGGGACAAAGAAAAAGGCTGGGGGAAGGGAGAGACAGGATGGTACTACTACATAAAAACCACAGCTCTACATTTTCTTCTTTCTTCCTGCTTCCAGTATGTACTTTCAAGACAGCAGGTGCTGAGGGAAACTTTTACTATCTTATGTGAGTTAACACTTCTGCTGCACCTGAGTGCTTCTGCCTTTTTCTGAGGAATATTGTTAATGCTTAGGTAAGCTGGCAGAGGTGGACACAGGGTACTTATCCACAGCCTTCCCTTCATCCCATGGCAGCTGGATCTATACCAGAAGATTGTAAAATTAGGAAAAATGGGGGTTCACTGGACCACCAAATGCAGATGTTTAGAATATGAGCAACTCCTCTGAGGATCCCCAAGGCACTTTGAGGACACAATTCATCACATCCTAAAACAAGAACCTGAAACAGGTCAGATGATTCAGCCCTTTAAAGCACCTCCTGATTATCAGGGGAGCCTAGTCAGATACAGACATCTAAAGTTAGGTGGGAGAATCCAATTCTGAAACATTTTCTATTTATGAAAATGAATCCTTCTTCATATGTATTTCCTTCAGAGTTTTAAAACAATTATATATTTTTTTTCCCGAAAACCTTTTCATTGTAACTATTCCCATTCTTGCTACTTCTGCGCCTCCCCCAGAATCTCTTCTTTCCTTTTTCTCTTGTTCTTCATTGCATGTTTTTCCCCATCTTCACTACCTTCCAGACTTTATCCTCCCTACGTTACCACCACTGTAACTAGCCACCTCCCTGCCAAACAAGTTTCTTCCACTCAGCTGCAGGTCTTTCTTGGAGGGAGGGACAGAGACCATACAACCTGCTTGTCCTCCAAGTGCCTGGCAGCCACAAATGCAGGCACTGAGATTAGCTAAGAAGATAAAGCAATTGAATTAATGTCCTGCTATAACCTTCCTAATGCAGGCAAGATGGAAGCTAAATTTCTGCTTTCATCATAACTAATTGACAGTTGCTGTTTACAAGGTACTTCTAAGCTTCAATTAAATAACAGAAAACGAAACATTAACTGGTAATAATTGATAAAAGTGGGGACAAAAAAAGCATAGATGGGTACACAGTGAAGACTGAAAGGACAGGAGCCGGTTTTTGATTAAGCTTTTTCTACAGCTTGTTGCAGTTCTCTGAGTTCACCTTCTAGTGTGAATGGTAATTTCTGTGCCCTATGTAGGGGCAGCTGCAAAAGGTGTGTCACAGCAATGCCTACGCTAACTGCTTGCCCACCACTTTCACTTCTAACTATCTACCTGTAGTAGGTACAGATTTGCTATCAGCTTCTTTCATCTACCAAACGCAGAAAGGCAGCAGGCTAATAGCAAGGGATTTGAAAGTGACTGTTGGCAGGGTCAGAAACTGGTGGTGAAAACCAGTCAGGCTTCTAAGCATAGAGGGAGGATAAAAGGGAACCTCAGAAAATTCAGGGCTATCTTAAAAATAAAAGGGGATACATATGTATATATGTTTATTTTCTGTTTTATTCTAGCTCAGATGTTTCATTTTACAGTGTAAAAGGACAATGTATAAGTGCTTATATTATCCCAAAAATATTTTTGAAGAAGTGTAATAAAAGTCTACAAAGTATTCTAGGGTATTGAAATATTTTCTTGCTAGTGAAAAGCTACAGATCCAAAAGGCACTAGCCAGTAACCAATTAAGGTGAATAATGCTAGAACTTGCTGATATGTATGTTTAATATCCCACCAGAGTCCACGCTCTGCAAGTCTTTCTCTGTCACAAGATGACTACTTCTGAAGGGTACCATGGCTTTGTTCTTTGCCAGATGTCCCCATGAAACTAAGAGTAGCTGGTAGTGCATTGCATGAACCACAGAAGTATAGGTCCTGCACCCAAACTAACCTCCCCTGAGCGAACAAATCATGTTTGATTTAATCTTGCTAATACACTAGATTAGCAACTGAAACAGTTTCTATGACAATTAACCACTCCCAGTCCTAATCCCAAAATGCGTTCAGTGAAGGAAATGGAAACTGACCCATGTGACCCATGAACCTCCAAGCTGACGGGACCGGGGGTGCAGGGGAGCTTCACCCTGAAAGATAAGTCTAGTTAAATGCTGTGCTCCTAAGCCTACTATTATCTCTTCTGCTACTGTGACCGGAGAAGTCTCCCTATAAAGCTAAGAACAAACCTGCTACAAATGGCCAGTTTACCATTTTTTATAGGGTATGCAGCATATTTCTAAGATGTAGAATATTATAGAGCTTGAAAGTTTCTGAGGGCATCTGAAACTGCAGTCCAAAATACAATGCCTTAGATAACACTTAATAAAAGTAGGTAAATAAAAGGAAGAAAAAAGGCCCACATCCTGATTACTCCCTGGAAACCGGAAACCTGAAGGGCTGCCTCAAGGCTGGTATACCTCCTCAGACCTGTAGCTGACACGCAGCTGAACAACAGAGAGAGGGTAAAAAACTTCTTGTCAAGCATCTTGTCGAACCATGTTTTCTGATTTCTTTGACTTTTAACCACACTCCTAGCCTTTGTTACAAAAGAATTAAAGCTTTTGCTTGAACCTGAATAATTTTTTTTTTTCTTTGAAACAAGATGAACAAGAGCAAAACCAGTGTAGTGAGTGACTACTTCCACATCTAAAAACATCTGCCTGCTGGTGCTGCGCTTGGGGAGCCCAGAGACTTACACAGTGAATACTGCAAATTTGCAGACAGTCAGCGTAAGGGCTTGTGTTGCTAGCCACAAGTTTAGAGGAAGGAGATCCTTGTGATATGACCAAGCAAATATCCATTCTGAAAGGAGCAGATGGTACAGAGTCATTCCCTAGTCTGATGGGCGCCCTTCACCTCCGTTCCTAACGTCTGCCAAGTCACATGCCTGTGTCTAACTTACTAACAGGTTTTAGTTAACTCTTATTAAAATTAAAGGGTAAGGGAACCCTTACTACATAGACTTAATCATTAAAGTAGAGGATTTACATCCTGGAAGTGAGTTTCCATTTGTTTCCCCCTTCCATGCAGTGTTAGAATTAGAGGAAAGCACATTTCTAAAAAATTTCCCTCTTCTGTGGCAGCTTTTGCAGGAGACTCTGTGCACATCCTCTATCCATGAAACTTGCCTGAACACTGGCAGAACAACCTTTGGAATACCATCCTTACACACATGTACTCACCTTTACTTGGCAACGCCCCCTGACTGAGGACTCGAGCCCTCAGGAACACATTTTCAAAGATGTTACAAACCTGGGATCAGCTGCGAGGTATTTCTTTAAGTTTTGCTCCTCTTTTTTTCCTTGAGATAGTCCAATTATAAAGTATTTGTCTCTGATAACAGGGAAATCATCTAACAGGCTTCTTAGGCTGTTGTAGTATGCAATGAGCTGACCTCTCAGGGCATGTTGGGACACACGCTGGTTCAGCCTGAAAAGGCATAATTAAAATACAGTGTTGTGCAGCACGTAATCTGTCCAGAGAAGCTCTCCTGTTGTTGAGCCTAATCTCTTTTCATATGGCCATCTCTGGCATCTTCCACAGCAAAATTTACAAGCTATAAATATGACAATTTTGCCGCACTGTGACAACTAGACGGACAAAAAACATGAAAGTGGCATTTACAAAGCAAAGGAAATTTTAGATTTAACACTTTTCACCAGATAGATGTCTTCACAGTGCTTTGGAAATATTCATAAATTAATCCAGCAACCGCTTTGTGGTAGCTATTGATACTTACATTACAATAGGGAAGCTGAAGCAAGAAGAAACCAAGTGACATGAGTTAATTGCAGAACTGGGAATTAAAACAAGACAATGTGACCCTGAGTCAGATTTCATAATCAGTCAGCTGCACTGAGACTCCACTCCAACAAAACTCCGCTCCAGCAAAACTCCAGTCCAACCTGCAAGCTGTCTCCAGAAAACTCAGTCTGGCCTTACCTATATACTCAATACACTGAACCTGGGCTAAAGGTAGTCTGCATTTGCAGTGTGACACAAAGGTATGCAAAAGGGAACAAGAATATTCATGTTGGTGTACACTTACCTGTGAAGCCAAAGAAAGGGTGAGATGCAGACATGCCATTTTACACATTATACTGCTATACAATGGAATAGACATTATTTATGAAGACAGGGATCTATTCTATTTGCAAAATATGGCTCACTGACACAGTTGCCCTACTTCCAGCTAGCTATTTGCCATCCTCTTTCCCCATGCTTCTCAGATGCATCTCTGCACATCTGAGTATATGAGGAGATGACAGATCTGGATGCTGGCCACATGGCAGATTCTTGTCCAGTCTTCTGACAGAAAGGAACATATAACCCTTATATGGCTTCATAATAGGCTATGCACTCCAGCAGAAAGATGATGCATAAACTAGTCTAGTGGAGTATATCAAGTTAACATGGTCTGTTTCTCAGTGAAAATAAACTAGAAATTGACCATTTGCTTCCCCCCTCCCCCTTAATATATTGGCACACATGCCCTAGGATTTGATCTCCTGCTATTGTGTCCAAGATAAAAGTCCTAGAAACATAAACTTAGCTGGGAATAAAGACTATAAAATACTGAATACTGACATACTAAAGCAGGATTTGGAAAACAGAATAAAAATAGAATCTAGTCCCACTCTATCTGCAACTCCAGTCCCTCCCAAGTTGTCTTACCAACTAGACTGAGTTCACAGGACATTACATCACTACTAGTTCTTTCTCTGATCTATTGTAGATTATTTCCTGTGCAACTCATCTCTTGTGCTGAGGATGTTTATCTGGCATTTCCACACTCTGTTTAGCATCCCATCATCAATCCTTTCTCCTCATACATAGGCTAAGTGGCATATTTCCTGCTCTTCCAGCAACATGACTTGTACTGCCTCTAATGTTATCCTATGGAACCATTGAAAATGTTCTTTTCTTGAGTCTGCAAATAAGAAACTCATAAGTTGTATTAGTCATATGAAAAATATGCCCTCAGAATAAGAGTTTTAGCCATTGTCTAAAATGTCTGTATTAGATATACTAAATGTCATAACATAAATGTCTATACAAGATATATATTGAACATATATTAGATATATTTTATCAGATATACTTACTTATAACAATATTCAACAATGACGTCTCTTTTGAATTTCAGAAGTTCATCCTACAATGAAAGAATATTTTCTTCTTAGTACCATGCGTGTACCACTAATATTCCAAAGCACTTGAAACATTTTATATTAATGTAATTCTTTAAAAAAGGATTATGTACAACATTACAAATATCTCAACTATGTAACTTCAAAACTGTAATAAGGATAACCATCAAGAAAGATTTTATGACAGATGACAGATTTCGTAAACAGTTATGGAAATCTTGTAAATAAATTCGGAATTATTATTTTATTCAAGTCTGGTTCATATAGTTTTGTTCACAAATTCTGCAAAATTTCCCAAAAGAGTTTACAACTAGCAGTTATTTCTTCATACTTATCCAACTTACTGATCTGGCTAGAAGCTCATGAATATATTAAGCTAAGTTATTTATGCTGATGCTTTTAAAAACAGAATGACTGCTAAGGCTTCTGGGCAGAAGATACTTGCTTTTTACTACCTGGTAAGTTTTTAAAGACCATGCTTAACTTGTAATTTATTCATCAAAAGATACATATTTACAAGCACTTTAACGGAGGATCCACGTTCTCACTTTAATCTAGACGCTAGCTGAAGTGGAACTTTCCAAAAAGTAAAATCTAGACCCATCATAGTATCTTTATAAACAATTGTAATGACCCTCTCATTTTCTAAAATAAAAAAAAAAAAGAAATGGCTAGAAATATTTGTTAAAGATGCCTTCCTCCTCTAGTCTCCATTTTTAGCTAGGCCCACTGTCGGGTGCTTTATATACATAAAAGCCCAGAACAGTTCTGCACCTAGTAGAGTAACTATACTCAGAATTTACCTCCTTACCTAGTTTGGAAATAGTTTAGGAGCAACACTTCTTAGTGTCCACAACCTTAAATGAGCCATATATCTGCAGATTCCTGTAGTTTTTCATGCACATTTTCACGCATGCACATTTTCATGCATATTTTCTCTCTGTTGTGAGACCTGCAGCAATATCCATGAAAGACCATAGGGAAACAGACCCATGGAAGAGGGTTGAGTACCTTCAAGCTTCCCTAAATTTGGAACTGCCCATCCCTGAGGTGTTTCGTCAACAAAAGAAATCTGCTATTTCCTCCTCTATTACAGAACAGAGCTTTTCACGTTTGCGTTCGGAGTTTCAGGAGGGTGCCCTAATCAAATATCTTTCTCCTTACAGTAACTGCAGAATAAGTATAGTGCTAACTCAAAGAAAGGACCCTAACCACTTTGCCTATGTGCCAAAAATCAACAGTCTCTCTTGAAAACGATAAATCTCCTGACACACTTACAGGGTTTTGCATTCTGCTACCCATGGTTTCTTTCTTCTGAATGAATGCGTTCAGCATCATGTCTCGAGGCCCCAGTTTCTCTAGCTGAATGGAAACAAAAGCTTCTGCAGGCCTAACAAGCAAACAAAAGTACAGCAGCAGGGATGAATCAGATCTCAAAAGGTAAACTGATAACTCCATCTGAACGACTCAAAAAACCTCTCTATGCTAGGCGCAACTTCTCCAACATTCAACTGTTTCCTTAAAGATATATAATAGATGTAAATATACTAGATTTTATGGATCAGCTGCAAGAGGCAAGATGAACTCTGCAGATAGTCTCCCATTCTATACAGCTTTAATTTCAATGCAAGTGAAAAAATGACAAAATAAAAAGTCATTTAGGCAAACTAAGAAAAAGAAAACATTTCTCCTCATAACGATACTATGGTAGTAACAGAAACGGGTGGATCTTGCCTGGGCTCATGCGAACACCATTTTATTTGTATCTTCAAACCACAAGCTGTTCAATCAACACAGTGTTTTCAGTGCTCAACTCCTAACTGGTCAGCACTGAATAACACAAAACTTGTTCTAACTGGGTCTTGTCAGTACCTTGTTAGCACACAACATCTCATGTAAAAGGCAGAAGACCAGGCCAAGGAACTAGTATGTTGGCAAACGAATGCTGAGACCAAGCTCTCTTCCACAAGAGGCATGAGATCATATTTAATTGATGTATTCTGGCTTACTTACTATTTTCCATAATTTTGTAATGTTTTCAAGTGTAAAAGTCACTGATAGTCAGAAACTCCTGAGATGCCTGCATTTCTTCCTTTAAATAACAAGTTATCTCCACAGGATTTAATTTGAAATCAGAGTCCCATTGACAGAGTATGTCTAAGTAACCAGAGCACTCAGCCTACCAATTCAGGCCAAGAAGTAGGGAAGCTGTGAATATGCCCTTAAGATTTAGAGCAAATCATTATGTTTTGTCACTATGAAGGGAGAAGGTAAGGCAGGCAGTGCTCAGGATTTGCATTTACACCAGACTGGCTGCTCACTGAAGAGGGCTTGTCCAGTCTGTAACAAATACCTGTTTATGGTACAGTGTAAATCTGAAGAACGTCCAGGAGAACATGAGGTGGCTGCTGTGGTTGCTTGCAGCAGCCGATTCTCTATTTCATTCCCAGACACAGAATTTCTTCCACTTGCTGAACTGCTCCAACTTGTTAGTCTTATATTTCCTTCCTAAAAAAATCACAAACATCAATTCTGTGCTTGTTTACATAAGGGATGGCAGCTCTACCTGCTGAATCAGCACTGATTAGCAATTCTGTATACTTTCATTTACCCTAACTTTATGATGTAATAATTCTGAGATCACTGAAAGTCACAGAGAAAAAGCATTTCTCACTGAGCACAAGAGTAATGAAACTATAGAGGCAGCAGAGGTCAGAGGCAGTACCCCATTTATAAATCAGACAACATTCTCCACATTCAGCCAGCCACAAATAAAATATGAAATATTCCCAAATATTCACTTTTCCAAATATATACAAATAATTTTACATTGAGATCACTTGGCTTGAAAATCAGTTCACCTCCCCACAAACGTAAAAAACTACACATGTGCCCGGACACATCTGTTATTTAAGTCCCAGTGGATCGTGGTATGAAGGAACCTCAGAAGTTTCTGCATATTTATATTTTAAAAAACATAATTTTCAAGGAGGAACAAGTAGCTGTTTTCTGAATTCTTAAAGTCTTATATGAAAAGCAACACAGGCACTTTGCAGCCCAGCTTTCTTTAGTTTTTATTTAGTTTAGTTTTCAGTATTAGTTATGGGGGACCTTGAAAGCACCCTAATTCCCCTGTAAGTCAAAGAGAACTAGTGTCTTGTTGTGTAATTGAGAAAGAGGGAAAGGGAAATATCGAAATGGAATAAAGAAGTCATGTTTTGAGCATTTACTGAGTTCCTTCTCCTAACTAAGTACTAGGCTGACTTGGGTTCGTCCCAGCTCGCAAATGGGTCTGCCCAAGAATTTTGTTGTAATAGAAAATGAACCTATTTCCCAGAGAACCATTCTACCCGCTTAACAGAGCACAGGGAGGATACAACATTTATGACAAAACTTGAGGTCAACAACTGCTTTAGAAGTAAACAGGCAGACATGTAGCAGTGCCATCAGTGACTAGAAGACACCACTCTTGAAAAAAATTTTAGTCTATAAACTATAGATGTATCTATGACAGTACAGAAAAGTCTCCATCCTTGGATACTGAGGTTATAAATATATGGGAATTAGCTATTCTGAAGGTCCTGAACTGTTAAACCAGTGTCAAACAGGCTGGACTGCACAAGGCCGTATTGCACTGTGAGACTCAGTGGTTCAGCCTATGCCTGTCGTGGCATAGCCCGAAGGTCTTGGCGACTGACCATCCAAATCAGGGACTGTGGTGTACTGCGCACAGCAACTTTGACGCCATGCACCTAGATCTCCATCATGGAGATGGGGTGCAGGGAGATCCTGCTTATATATCCACCATCTCCCTTTCCTATGTAAGGAGGGTATACACGATTTTTTCCTCTTTATATGTTGATTTGGAATAACAGATGCATGACGTCCTCATCAATGCCTCTGTTGGTTGTATTAGTTGTTCTATCTGTGCTAGTTTGACTAGCTAGCTAATATTCACTGACTGTAAATCATCAAAGACTGATCCATAGATGCAGCAGCCATTAAATGATTAACAAATGAGAGGAAACATCTGAGAACGAAATACACAGTCACTGTCATTCTACGGAAAAGAAACTATTAACCATTTAGACAGTAAGAGAACTGTCTTCCTTAGACAGGAATGTTAGGAAGATCACTCCTTTTCAGATGATGGATGAAAAGCTATTTCCAGATCAGGACTGTTCATAGTTATCAGTAAAGAGGCCCGACAGCAACAGAGGATCAATTTGGGAAAGGCACTGAGGCTGGAGCCGCTCAGTTCCACAGAGGATTTCAGTACTGCAGAACCTGATTAAGAATTAAGACAGGAAATCTCAAATTTCTCAGTGAAAGGCAATGGGACGCAGCCTCTGGGACAAACTAAACCATGGACTCTGCTGTAGCTGCAGAAACAATGAGCCTGGCACAGGCTGCATCACTAGCTCCCTGACGCACCAAGGCCTGGAGCCCAAGCCTCCTTTGGGCTAGTTCTGACCAAATGACACTGAGTTAGCATTTTTGTGACCAGTCATCAAGATAATAGTTTAATTGGGGCAATCAGTCTCAGATGTATGGTGCAGAATCACTAGCCTGCTTAGGTAAGGAGAGGATGCAAGCTACATAGTGGTGAAACCAGTTTGTTCTGCTGTAACTTGCAACCTCAGGGGTGCAGGCTTGCCCTAGGAGCTCCCTCACATTCACCTCTGGTGTAAGGAAAGAAAGAAGATTGTGTAAGACACTGCTCTTGGAATGGCAATCCATGCTCAGGGGCTTGTAAACCATAGCAGCGTAAGACATCTTTCTCTCCACCCCACACACTGCAGCTCCGAACTACCCAAAATGAGACCACAGGGAGTCATGAAAGTGTGTATTTTTCATTTTTAAATTTAGAAAGAAACCAGTGCCGTACAGGAAATGTGTTAGCCTCATTCTCTTAGCCTGTCCAATTTGCTTCTAACAACCTTTGACCCCATTGACTAATTTTAAACATATTCGACGAAAGAAGCGAGATCTCAAGGGTACAAAGATCCTTCCAGTTTTGCAAAATCAGCATCCAGCTCGAGAGGAGACACTGAGGGAAAAGGCAAGGAGAGTTTCATCCTTAGTCATTTGGCTTAGCCTGCCTAGCTCCCAGGAGGCAGGGACCAGCCGGACTCCCAGTTTAACAGCCAGACAATCAGTGCACTTGCGGCTACAAACCAGCCACAGAACAAACCACTTCTTGCCCAGCTAGGCGAAAAAAAAAAACCACAGGCACTTCTGATATACAGGAAAGAGCTGAGGATACTGCCTGGAGACAAGGGACGGGACGTCGGGGACGCAAGAGCAGGCTGAGAGTACTGAGGGGGGATGGACGGTGTGTCCTAAGGAGCACAGAGAGAGCTGTGGTATATACGAGACCAGGGAAAGCAAGATAAGGCCTAAAGAATCCCGATTTGCCTTCTAAATTCAAAACTGCGTCTGAGGCCAGAGACACAACTGCTGTATAAGAAAATGCAATACGGAGACTTGCAATGTTTTAGGACATATGAAGCAAAGACAGCTCCTGAGCACCATGGATGAAAACACAGGATGAATTGCTAAACATAAGATGAGGAACAGTAATGGCTTGGTTATCCTCCCAGATGGCGTTTGAATTGACATAATATGAGGCCGGCATGTATAGTTCCCATTTGAAATAGCATTGCCCGTGCACCTGTCTTCAGGAAACAGGCCAAATGAAAGGGGCAGGAGCTGATGGCATTGCCATCCCAGAAGAGCAGATATTTCAGGGTCAGGTTTTGATTGCTAGTCTTCCTGCATAGTACAGGCTATAAGATTTCATCAGTGCCTTTTGAATCCAGCTCACCTCCAAACGCTTCCAGTCCTATGCTGGGGTATATTTTTAGCGTCGCTTCATTACTTACCCCAACTAACCTACTTTAAATAAATCACTGATGTGACACCATTTATTTTTATGTCATCTATTAATAAACAGTCACTGCAGTTCCTGCAGTCATCAATGATGCTGCTCCAAGTGTAATGCAGAATTATCATCCAATTGTTTATAAGCAGAATTAAGATACCATTTCAGGGGCTAAGTCTGACAAAATCCATCACTAATGCAATCCAGGTAAATAGATGCCACTAACCTTTGTGTCCCGGGCATGGGTAGGCTGGACCAGGTAACAAAAGGAAGCTTGCTGAACAGCCACCAAAAGAGCATTTTTCTGAATGACCTGACAGGCAAGGATAAGCTGCATGTTCTTTATTCCAGACGGGGACAAGAGCTAAGGAGGGTGAAAACACCAAAGTATTAGGTATTTCCACTACAATTTAAAAGGCAGATCATTTGACAGACATCATTCTTTGCCTTGCACCATTTCAGCAGTTTTTTTTAATGGAAGCAGGGGGATGGGAGAGTGTTCTATTACATTTGTTTACATTATTACTTAAACCCTGAGTAAATACAGACTAAATTTAGAGATCAGGAGATCATTTCATTAATTTGTATTTACTGAGCTGTGTTCTCAGCTCTGCTCTGCAGACGTGACATTACCAGACTGGTGCGGCCAAAAGCAGAGAGGCTGGGAACGGAATTCATATAAAATAAAACAAGGGTTAGCTTTGTTTTTATTTGTTTTTTTCCTTGGCAATTTTTAATTTCATATCATCCTGCTGCAGAGTACAGGCCATGACTGAGCTGATGGCAAGAATCAGACTTGGAGGAGGGCTTTAAAGAAGAAACCTCCATGGCCTGGCACCGCATGGTATTGTTGTTATACACTAGCACAAAAAGGAAAGGACTAAGTACACAAAATAACATTGAAAACTAAGGTCATTTTCTTTCATTGCAATACTTGCTACACCAAATGCTGATACTATAGAAGCATACAGACAAAAACCTGCATCCTGGTTTATTTAACCAAGTTTCTCAGACAAAATTCTGCTGTCTTAGAGTTTTGTCCCACTAAGGATTCCTGTACTAGTCCATATCAACAATCCATATCTTAGTGCAATTTTATGAAGTTAGTTATAAAACAGCAGACTAAATTATATTATCACTCAAAAAAGACAAACTGTAGTAAAGTGTATAGTGTCTAGCACATGCTTGGCTGAGGCCTTTACATACTCCAGCAAATAAGTAATAACAAGACACACATTTTTTGCAGTTCTGGAAATGAAGCATTCACCTGCATAACACCATCTCTTGTACGGAAGCTAAACTTTCCAATATGACTGTCGATTTCTTGGATGCCTAATTGTAAGTTAGATGGAATATATCTGCAATAAAAGCAAAACACAGAGTATGACAGAGAAAAAAGCCAAGCTGGGGATGAAAGGAAAACAGTGACTGGTTCAGATATACTTTTTGTATACTTTTTGTTTCTTTACCCTTTAAATCTAGATCACACAATGGAATCAGTCGCTCTACTTCCTCAATTTAATGAGCTTAAGAAGTTGCTTTAGTTTTCAGAAGTAGTTTTGTAAGAAAAAGAAAATACCCCATGATGTCTTGTGGTCGAACTTACAATGACTCATGAGCTCCTCCTAGATGAGTTTGGGCTAAACCAGTGAAAAATCTGCTTGTCAGGTTCAGTCATGTCTCGTTTCAAGTATTGACTCCCAACCTTTTGTGCGCTGTTGCACTGTCTTCTATGCTCTGATATCAATCACGGCCCACAATTCAATTAACAGCTGAAGTTTCATTCCAGGTTGCTTGCAATTGCTAACCACGTCTGGAACAGTCCAGCTTTTGCAGTAGGCTAGAATGTTTGCAATTGAATGGGACACAAGCAATAGCGTACAACCACAAGTGGTATACATACACGTGGAAAGAGAGCCCTATGGCCTGCATCAACGATTAGGAACGATTGACAGAAAGCCCTTCTTGAATCTAGTAAGAAAATTAACAGGTTGTTTTCTTTCTTCCTCCCAAATCTGGATCTAAAATATACACTCATGTGTATATACATGTGTATACACTCACATTTACCAACTGTTTAAAGAGTAAATCAAAGCAAATGTAAAAAAATCTACATGTCCCAGACACCTTCCCTAGGAAAAAAAGGGAAGATAATAAATAGCCTTTTCCTTGCACAGAGATCAGGTCTATTTGTAGTCACCGGGTTGAAAAACAAAAATCAAAGATGTCATTTCATAAAGAGCTGTATAACTCTAGGAGAATGAGCTTCCTTTGTGTTCAGAATTACGAGTTCATTCATCATGGTTTTTGAGGTTACATTTTGCTATATGTGAGACGTGGGGCAATCACTTTCGGTCCAATCCTGTTAAGCATCCCTTGGTTTGAAAAAGAACTCATTTGAGTTCCAAAGTTGCCTGTGTTCCACCCAAATTCGGTGCCTCATCCCTTTCACTGCTCAACAGCTTTATATTAGAAATATTTGACCTTGGATGCTATAGACAGAAGAAACAAATCATGCAGCATTTTAAGTTTTGTGCCTGAATAATTGTATGTATTTTATGCATTGAAGTTTTTGTGGCCTATATTTGAGCTTAAGCAGACTGAAGACTTGGTCATGTCCAATCTAAAGAGATTATGTCCTGAGAAATACAAAAAAGTTCTTTCTACCTGTCAACACAGCTGTCATCTTCCAGGAGGGATGTAATGAATATTGGTGGGATGTGGTCTGCTTTCTCCTTGTAAGATGCAAATTCAAAGTGCACTGGCCTCAGATACAAATGGAACTCACCAAAACCCATTTCCCTTGCAAAAGCTTTGTATAACCTAGAAAGAGAAACAGATGGGTGTGTTTGAAACATTAACTTTCCTTCTGTAGAACTTTTATGCTGTAAGCAACATACCTAGAAATCTATATCCAACAGATTCATTTCAACTGCATTCCAATTAAAATGTTTCTTGGCATCTGAAATAGTATGATAGTTACGAAGCAAATAAGTACTGTATCCAGATAGCTGATGTTTGCTTAGTATTGACCATTCCATTGACACAGACAGCACTTACAAACAAAGGACAAGACGCTGAGATTCTACAGTGTCATGAGGGAAAAAAAATCAAGTGAAATATGCTAAATATTGCTATTTAGAAATGTATTTGGCAGAGAGAAGTAGATTATAATTTTAAACTGGAAATTGAGAAGAGGACTGACTGTCAGAGAGGACAATAGTCAAGGCAGAGCTCAGACAGTTATTACTACTAAAGCAGTGCTTTCATAACCTAAGAAAGCTGCATTGTAGAAGCCCTCAGTATGACACAATCCCCATACAAACCCCTTAGTATAACAAATTCCAAGGATAGTCCATCAGTAGATAGTAAATGTAATCATCTAGATGCGACCATTAAGCTCAGGAATTCCCTAAAGTGCTGGGTGCCAGAAGCAGACGCTGCCCTCCTTGTTATCTTCCTTCCCTAAGGATCCATCACTGCATCCATCTTGCCCAGAGGCAAGACACAAATACTGATCTGGGCTATAATGGCTGTTCTTATATAGTAGACGAAGACGGTAAAAAGAAAAACTTAGATATTTTCATGCAGCGCGCAAAGGAATAAGATACTCCTTTGCTTCCTCCTAGCATCTAAGAACATCTTTATCAATCAAGAAATCAGGTCACAGAGCAGCTACTTTGTGAGTTATTTTGTCATAGCTCTTAGTTCTCCAAAATCAGGTAGGATTTCCTGTCTGCAAAGTAGGGGAAAGAAAAAGGGAGGAAACAAAATAATATATAACAGACATCATGCATATCAACCAATAACACATATGGAGCACAGCCAAAATCAGTTCTAAGGTCCTAAAACAAAGAGCTCTGTATAATTATTACAAATGCTGCTCTCTTTGTTGACCAGTATAGACATAGGACTAGCCTATAGAGCATAGACATCAGTAGACAAACCAGTTTATTAATACTGTTCAAAGGGGAGAAAATAGCAAAAAAGAAAAGATATTAAAAAGGTGATTATGTCAAAGAAAAACAGAAGAGAATCAACATTCATATGAAAGCTGCACTGCCTATCTCTGCTATTCTATCAAATGATGTTCTTTTTCATCATGTGGGAGAAGACAAATACAGTCTTTGGAGAATACTGAAGAACGAAGAGAAGCAATAAGAGCTGTATGGAACAGTGCATACAGGATATATATTTTTAGATCTAAATGACTTTCCACGCAGGAATGGATAGACAGGCAAGTAACGGCAGTAATTCTAGCAGGTCCCCCCAAAAGACGAATAGAAGCTGTGGTATGAGCTAGAGGAATCCACAAATACAGACGCAGTCATTTCTTTTCACTGTGCATAGCAGGAAAAAAGTTTTAACAACCTTTCTAAATTTTCAGTCTGAATCGCAGAATCTCTAATAGTTTATATCCTAATGAACTGTGAACTTCATCACATCAAAGGAAGATGCAAAATTAGCCTCTCAAAATGCCACAAAGAATAAACTACATATGTTTATACTAATATTTAGATTGACTTAACCAGCTTCTATTAACTGAAGAAAGCATTATGCTTAATGGCCTTACGTAACGCATCATAAAGTCTTACATTTTGTTGTAACTTTCCACAGAATTCCCATCCTTTACTGGAACAATGACAATTTATTGCTACTTTTTATGGACTTCTAGATATGTCACCTCAGAAGATTATGTCCTTCCTAGCCCTGTTTCCAGAAGAAATTCAAATATGTGACAGCACTGTCTGCTCATCTGTCTCCTTTGGATTACTTTTAAACCAGCTGATGAATTTCAATGAAATCTGACATAGAGGGAAGGCTTTCAAGATATTAAGTTCCTATAGGTTTCATGAAAACAGGTGAATGCATATTAATTTTCCAATGTAACCTTACCCCTTATTAATTACCAGGAAATATATGTGCATGCGTGCATGTGTGTGTATGAATAAAGGAACACAGAGATGACTCGACTGCCAGAAGAAGTTTAATCAGAATTCATGTTGTATTAGGCAGCAGAGTATTCAAACAAGAAACTAAAATTACCAAGAAAACAGACCTTGTTTCATGGAATTACTTGAGTTAACTAAATTTACTTTTTTGTTAGCTTACCCAAGAAAGTTCCAGATATCAAATTAGAGCTGTTTAAGAACTTCTTATTTCAATGAAAAAAAAAAAAAGAGTTGTGACAGAAAATAAGGCTTTCCACCAAACTAAGTTTGAAGAGTCAGGGATCACATATCTTAAACGTTTAAGTTTTCAGCTACTGAAAATAAATGTTTCTGATTTTTTGATATGGAGTCTAAACTTTCAAGAAGAAAGCTAGAGAAAGGGTTAAGACCAGGGGAAAACACAGCTGGAATGTCATCTATCACACACACACAATCCTGCTATTGTAAGCAATCGTCTCCCACAAATCCATTTCATAAATGAATCAAACTCCATTTTAAAATTGGGTTAGTTTTCTACCCTCTGCCCTTTCCCTTCCAGAATTGTGCTGTCTGATTCTTAGAAGTTTCCTTTTAATTTCCAGCTTAAATTTATTCATAGTGATTTAGATCCATTCGTTCTGCTGACAAAATTGGCTTTTAGCTTAAATAGCTCCCTCTCCATTCCCAGTGCTTATCTTCCTGATGTATTTATAACAGAACAATCGTATCGCCTCTCAGCCTTCATTTTGCTAGGGTAAACAAGTTAAGATACTTCATCTGCTTTTGCAAAATGCATTCTCAATTTCCCCTCATCGTCCTATTAGGTCATTCCTGCGGAGCTTTTCCATCATTATGAAAGATTTTAGTACGTTGCGTTATTACAAACCAAATTAAAGACAGATCTAATATGAACTCAGTGAGGGCATTGTTGTGCCAGTCCTTGAAGTGCAGATATGGACTATGGTAAGAATTTGGTCTGTTTGGTCTGTATTGTGTAGATGTAGCGTTCAAGCCCCCCCCCGCACAGTTGCACTACTTTGGCAGTTTACAGCCGTACAATGGCCAACGATACACCCAGTTCTTTCTCCCTTTCTGTTGCTTCCAACTAATAAGCACAAAGTTCACAGCACAAGTTCCTGTTATTATTGCACAACCCTGAGCTTTGTGCTATTGAAGCTTATTTCATTTCTGTTATTCCAGTGCTTAGAACCATGAGTTCCTCCTGCAAAATATTCTGTTTCTTTTCCATATCAGCTTTATCTTGCAGCCACTACAATGTCCCGATTTTAATAGCACGCTCTCATGCTTTCTACTGAGCTCACCAATAAAAACATCAAATAATATGGAACTTGACAAGATGAACTTCACCAGCAACCTGCCTGCAAGCCGCTAGTTTAGCACCATCCTTTGTAGTCTCCCCATTAGCTCAGCCCTTATGTTCTTTGTCTTCCTGTACAAATTGTCATCTTCTCCACCTGATGTGATAATTTCCTAAGTGACACCACAGTGACTTCCATTATCTCAGTTATTTCATCATCTTCGCAAGGATCAGCACAGTCAGAACAATTTTTATACTTTCCCATCTGTGGCAGTGAACAAGGCAATGAATTGTACTTCTTGCGTGCCTTTTTAATACATTTTTAATATATTTATATAAATAATATTACAATATTATTTATATGAAGGCAGTTAAAACAATTGTCTGTGTAAAACTCTGGGGAGAAAAAATCTTCACGTCCATTTTATCAGTGAATTCCTCCTGCTCCTCCTCCTCTTGACTAAACTTGAGCAGGATCAGAAGACTCCCATTTTCACTGGGCAAAGGGCCAGCCCTGATAAGCTTTGAGGAGCAGCTTGGCAATTGATTTGTTTCTCAACTTTTGAAAATAATGAACACCTGCAAACCCTGGGTAGACTCCGTTTCCATAAAACAAGTAAATTTATCTCTCACAACACAAATGCATGCTCTCTTATCTGTTTTTTCCTAATTATTCTGTCTAAAAGAAGTCACTTTTTTCCTATAAACCACACCTCTCGTAGGCCACCACAGCTAAATCAGCACTGCTAGCCCACTAACCTGGCTAACTGCGCGCTCTCCGTTGCCACCTCTATCAACCGATGGCGAAGCGTCACAAGCTCTAGGATCATGGAAAAGGAATCGAGGAGAAAGAATTGTTTTTCTCTGCTTTCCTTTTTTTCTTCATCTGCTCTCAGCTCTAACAGTGACAAAGCAATCTCTTGCACCAGCACAGGGTCTTCTATCAGTACCTCTGCAAATAACTGCGAGGGAAGAAAAAAGGACAACACAGACATCACTTTCACACAGATGACAAAGGTCTTTAAATACTTTAGGAGCCCATTCTCCTTTTCTTTTTTCTGGAGTAAATCATGACTGGAGTCGCTTCTGATTTGCAACCCACACAAGGTCAGAAGTGGGCCCTCCCTAAACTATCCTGCTCCCTAGAAATTAACACTAGAGTTTTACCACTTGCTTCCAAGATGCAGACACTGAATCCATACCACTGGCTTTATTCAAAGGATTTAACAAAGTCTGTCTCCTGGAACACAGGACGTTTGCTGTGTATATTCTAATCAAAACTAGGAAGGTTTTTGGATGTATATATTCTAAAACATCTATAATATCTATAAATATCTAACTGATATTACTTATGACTAGCCGGGGCCATTCCTCCCATGAGGAACACGCAGATCCCAGCACACGTGCCACTGCACAATGCTCCCAAAATGGGGACAGTAAACATATACAGTCTGCCCAGGCCTAACTCAGCAGAGCTGGACCCTAGTTTTACTGGGATGGTAGAAGGCCCCAAAGGAGCACAGGGAGGAAAAAATGGAAGCCCTGGGAGAAGAAAATGTCAAAAGCTACAGCTTGAGAAGGTGGAGAGCTGTGAAGAAGAGCAAGATCATCGGCTGCTGCGCTGTGGAGGCGATGCCAGGAGCAGCTCCTGGCTCTGCGTGCAGGAAGAGATGATCCTTGTCTCCTCTAGCTGTCACAACCTGTATAGCTATGCCACCCTGCGCGTGTCAGTGAGCATACAGACGTGGCCACTGTCATAAGGGAATGGCTTCACCCGTGGCTGTTTATGATGAATGAATCACAGAACATGAGGAAATCAGAACCTAGCCATGCAGTTATTAGCAATAAATTCTAGATTTCAACACATGCTGCTTACTACATCTTCAAAGCCACACTTAAAAAGAAAATAAAATAAAAAGTTGGAAAGGACAACACCTCAAAGTTAAGTGCTAGAAATTGTGCAACTTTATTTTGTACTTCTTCCCTAACGCTTTGTAATATACTTCAGTAATTATAAGACTCTGAATGGGTGGGACGTGATAACCCATCTTTATGTACTTCTTTATAGAGCAAGGAGAGTAGCATGCTCCCTGTTTCCAAAGAGTATAAGAGAAATAATAAGCTTAAATTGCAGCAAGGAAGATCCGTGCTAGATTTTAAGACGAACTTGCTAATAGTAAAGCTAGTGAAGCACTAGAACAGACTGCTTGGGAGAGTCCATCGCATGGTGCGTTTAAGAACAGGACAGACTATTTATCTCACTGAAATAATATATGTATAGCTGATCCCGGCTTAGGGTGAGAGAGGAAGATCTCTCAGCCTCTCAAGGATCATTTGGTATTTATAATTCCACAGTTCACTCTTCTTTTTATATGGTGCATGCTGTATTTCTGCATAGGGAATGTACTTCTTCCTAGGCTGGCAGCATCTTTACCACATCCCTGGGTCATTTTTTTGATTTGCATCAAAGTGCATACGCAAAAGGAAGCCAAATTAAAACTGTACAGGCAAAGGTGATTTTCCTAAAATGTAAATGCCTGACTTTACAAGCTAACGTCTTCTTAACATTGTCTGCATGCGCGGTTTTTTTGTGGTGATATCCTCAGCTTCTGACGGAGGAAAAGGAATGGGAAAAATGTAAACACAACAAAACTACTCCTCCCTCTCATCAGCAGCGTGGTAACTTTTAAGATCCACACACAGATCTATGTTACTGACTTTTAGGATTGACAAATAAAAAGCAACAAATCATTTGTCATCTGCAATGTGCAAGAGTGGAGTGGGACCCTGCCATTGGATTTTATTGGCATCAGAGAGACGCTGGATAAGCAATTTTTGGGTTTTGCTCTAGGGCAGGGCGGGGAGCGTCCTAGGTGTCAGCGCCCTATTGCCTTCAGTTTGTCCCTATGCTGTCTTACCCACCACTGTCTTCACAGTCTCTTCATCTAACCAGCTCAGTCTCCATGCCTCAAACTTCTCATTTCCATCCCAACCCCCTTCATTATCACGTCCTGCTGTCGCTATTTTGGGGCAGCTTGTCCCAGTTTCTTTACCAAACCGTTCTCACCTTTCCACCTCCACCCCAGCTGCCTTCCTGCCTCAGTCCCAATTCACAGTGCACTCTTCCCCCATCTCTTTCCTTTCTGAAAGGAAGGAACCTGCTGGTTCTTAGTCCTGTGTCTTCCAGCTTTTCATCTACCTCAGTCTTCATTCTCATTTACTGGCTGTCATCCTGCTTACCAAGTCAGTTGCATTTTCGCTGCATACTCCACACTCGGCTTCATTTCTGTTTTCAGTACCCCAGCTCCTGCTCTACAAACTAACATGTAATTGAGCTGCAACATTCCCATGTTCTGCTTAGACAGCTTCCTCCACTATCTCTAGTGAAGGCAATGCTAGTGACAGTGCAGACTATCAGCTCCTTGCAGTCACTTTGAATACTCAGACCCAGATACATGGCTCACTCGGTCCAGAGCTATTACAGCAGTGACAGTGGAAAGTCATGACTAGAAAGTCATTATTAGGTTATAGATACATCAGTCAGACAGAAATTTCAGATAACGTCCTCCTACCGAACGTGTTGCAATTGCAATTTTTATTTTATTTTAGGTTGGACAAATTTGGAAGGAATAAAAGCATAGCATATCACTACCTAATGAGCCTTCCCAAATTTTAAATGTATATTCCAAAGGCACATTACAATCTTGTAGAGAAAAGAAGTAAAATCATTTATTGTCCATTTCTTGCTCTCAGAAACAACTAAACTGACTAAAAAAGAAAAAAAAAACCAACCTGATAGAGACATCTAGCTTAGATAATTTCATTCACAATAATTAACATTTATCAAAATTATAACCAACCAAATTCAGGAGCCTACACCAGGAAATGATGGACATTACAGTAACAAACAGCTCCCCATTTAACAACATTTGCTTTCATGTCCAGTCTTCTGTTTTGTAAACAGTACATACACACAAACATAAAACCTGGAGACGTACTGTGATTTCACATCAGTTTTAATGTATCTTCCTTCTTAAGCTCACTGTTCATATTTTATACTGGTGTGAGATCAGAAGAGTTCTATCTTTCTACATTCTTTTACAGGAAAAAAATCCTGTTTTAAAGGCAGGAAGAATGGACCTACATCAATCTTAAGCAAATAATTGAACAGATATTAAGAATCCTACAACCAAGATTGTCCTGGGCGTTCTGCAGTAAACAGTCACTAATCATATGAACAAAACTGGAACTTACATCTTTTTGAATCTGAGAGCTGTAAAAAGACTCTGCTTTTTCCATAGTTAGCCACTCATCCACTGCTAGCTGAAGTACTTGTTTTTCTAGATTACTTGCTTCACTGGCTGTTTTCGGTCTAAGGATGTTGCAGAATTCCTGGTAGATATGCTCAACAGCTTTGGGGATCAAGCACACCAGACCAAGAGAAGGGTGAAACTCCAGCAAGTAAATGTTCTTTGAAGTAGGACTTAAAAATAACAAAAACAGACAAAGACAGACAGACATCAGTTTAATTAACATCACCACCACGGGAAAATGCTCCTATTTTACAAGTTGCTAGCAATAAGCAGCTCTCCAATAAGGCTTTTATAAACTGTAGATGTAAGGAAACCTTGCAATTGCTTATTTGAAAGAACAAATTAGAGTGACTTTAGCTGTGCCTCGGAAATCGATCATACTGAAGCCTTAACGAACATAATAATGTTGGAACACATCTAAGTACTTTCATTTGCTAATGAAAATAGAAATGTTTTCAATTCTCATTTGTTAGCTGACCTGTTTTACTAACTCTATTTTCATGTCTATTATGTCCACCCATTAAAAGTGCTAAGACTTGAAAATACCAACACAAAATCCAAGAGGAGTTGGGGGAAAACAGGGACAAGGGGCCTTAAGACAGAGGAAGTAAGCCAGAGAGGGTCAGAAGCAGGAGCTTTTGGCTTCTACTAAAGTATTACCTGCTATGTAAAGCTTGCATATAACCCACAGTGTTGCTCAGCTGCAGGATAAGGAATATGGGGTAGATCTGTGCTACAGGTAATACGTGGATTCCATGTGTGAAAACACAGTATGTATATATCCAACTAGGCAACTGTGCTAGAATTAATAACAGACTATGGCCAAAGGGCAGTGAAAGCCATAAAGCCATGTCAGAATACTGATGCAGTCAACTTAAAGCTGGATTAACGTAACTAACCACTTTCATGGTTAGTGTTTAATATTCTATAATCCTTACAAATATTAATCTCCCAATATAGCGCAAGATGAACTAACAAAATTCATTATCAAGAAAGGACAGAGGGGAAAAAAAAAATCACTTTTCTTCCTTAGATGTTTCTCTGGCAAATCCAAAGGTATACGAAATAGCATCTAATGTGAGACATTTAACTATTGCTTGATTCTTCTCAAGATTGTCTTTGTTTTCGAAAAGTCTTACTTTCAGGTGCTACATTCCAAATTTTTACAGTCATAGAAACTAGAACAGGAAAAAACTGATGTCCAGAAAAATGAATCTGCAAAAGTACTCACCAGCTATTGTTAAGAGAGATAAGTTGTTTAGTAATCACATTATAAGGAAGTCCAAATTCACTGACGCCACCTTTCTGACCTTCCTGCCAAACCTTGTGGACATATTCCCTCTGGACATCTATCTACAAGTCAGCAATAAACATAAGAGGCACTAGCCAATAAAACTCAAGCACAGCTAGAAATTAAGCCAAAACCAGCTACTCTTTAAATGCAAGCTGCATAAATTATATATATATATTTACATATGTGTGCATATATATATATATGTAATTTCAAGTCAATTATATATGTACCCACTTTAGCCAAATTATTCCTGCTAAAATTCTTTTGAAATCTTTCATATTGCTTCAGAGCAAAATTTCAGCTCCAAATGCTGACCATGCTCCGTTTTCATTGCAGATAATATGGTGGCATTAGTGGCAACAACAGCATAACAGTAGCCTCCTCTACTGAAACTGCAGCTTCCATTTCTGGACTACAAGTCCTGTTACAGAGGTTAGCTAGTTAAACCTCCCAACTTGCAGCCTGTGAAATCAAAAGTTCAGAAAAAGGAAATAATTTGTGCAAGAATACAGAGAAAAGTTGCAGCAGATTGTAAATCAGAGGAAAAATCTACTGATTTCAATGTGGTCCTTCAATTATCATCACAGGAATTCACAGTTATCTGAAATACAACGCTTTTTAAAGTGCACTTTAAAGCACAAACATTGTTTACACTGTCTTTACAGAAAGAGAGAAGACAGACTAGCTCCTTATCCACTGCATTGCAGAGCAATTATAATTATATTACAATTTTATTAAGCTTCCACACATCTCAACTACTATTTCTTTCTAATGGTTTCAAACGATAGCAGGAGTGGCTTTAAAGAGATATATGAAGCTCTGCAATCTTTCCAACATTCAGTTAGTAATATTGATGAAATAATAGTTTCCTGCTCTTCATTTTTAGGCCTTCAATTTACAAAGCATCTATAGACTTCATTGTTAAAATTAGTACTGACCCAACTTAAATATAACCACTGTAAACCAATGCACGCTATAATCAAAACTTCCCATTTGGGATTTCACCTCCCGCTATCCCAAGATGGATATACTGTAAACTCAACCTACTTGTTGGTTTACTATGCCCCTCAGCAGCTGGAGGTGAAGCTGTAAACAGATGCATTCATCTCTGTAGGTATCCACAAAATATCCAAGCTTGAGATCAAATCGTGGACGTTTATGCATGACGTCAACTATTGTTTGGGCCAAAGCAAATCTTTCTTCTGGGTCTATAGCATGTTGGTAAGCTTCAAAGTAAACATCTAGAAGCTGAAGAGATATTCAGAAGTATATTTAGAAATGTTTATTTACCTAAATATCCATTCTTTGTTGGGGAGAGATTTCTGAACATGGAAGTTGCTACTTGCATCAAACCAATAGTGACCTGGCAGGGCATCTTGTTTCTACTGAAGTATGAAGATTTTTCCTTTCAAAAAGTAACAAGGCCATGTCCTTACCAGTTTAAAACCATCTACTACTTTAGTACTCTAATCTGCTCTGTGTTTACTTTCCAGCACACATAGTGGTTTTGTGGTTTTGAAAAACTCCTTTTCTCCCTAACCTGAAACCTGCAAATTCATCCAAGACTATGTTATCTCATACGGCAATGATTGTCACAGTTACACTACATTCTTTAGGAAAAAAAAAAAATCACTGCTATTAAGAGCAGTATAATTAAAGTTGTGCAAAGGCAGATGCCCTCTTCAGACTCCTCTGCCAAGAATAGCTGGAAAGGTTTATTTAAATAAAAATTATCATTACAAACACCCACAGCTTAGGACAGAAAAAGAAACATGCCAAACATGACAGCATGTGAACTCTGGAGGTGATGTTGTAGTACTGTTTCCTCAGCTGGTAACTATGGAGCTGAAGATATGCACTGCCAATGCTACTGCTTCTGGACAAGTTGGTCTTATCAGTATGAAATGACCTGCATCTGGCTACTTTGCAGTGACATAGAAATAGAAGTGCATCCACATTACCGTCCACAGTGAGACCAGAAGACTGTGGAAGAGAAAGATGTAGAATGGCTTAGAGGTAACTCAGTATCTGCCAGTTCAGATTACATTGGAAACGAAATCAAGGCCTCTGATTCAGATCTGACTGACTTCAACTGTTCTGGCTGCAGTGTTCTGGCTGCAGGTATCACAAGCTCAAGCTGGCCTTGAGCAACAGGGCATAAGCAAGTTTTGTATTAGCTAAACTAAGCTGTCTCAGCTGCTAAACGAAGGACTATTGTTTCCTCCTTCAAAAAGAATTCTGTCCCGCAAGGAAACACTGGAAGTTAAACTGCAAAACTAGAGAGACCCACTTCCATTTAGCTTAAACTGAAAGCAAAAGACCTCCAGGAACAGCACATCTGCACATTTAATCCTGCCTAGAGAGCTGGATTGTGAAAGCAGTTCCAGAATAAACTCTTTGATGTTTTGGAAAGAGAATTGGTGCATTGTGGCTGTAGAAGTTTTATTCTTCTCTACTGGGAATTTTTCCTTCCAAAAATGAAAGCACGTTTCCTTATACAGAAAGTCTGTATCTGCTCATGATAAAAATAAAAGGTAGATTTGCAGAGGCAACATGTTCATACTGTAACGGAAAGGGAAGTCTACTGGGATGACAGCAGAAACTTAGTGAACTAGGCAATTAGATAGCATTTTATTTAGCTCTGTTGCACAAAGCCCCTCTATGCAAACAGAAGAGGGGCCTTAGGAGATTTGCTAAATTACATACAACTATTTTAGTTTAAAAGGTTTTCTATTTAAAGCCTCTACAGTGGTACGCTGGAGACTCCCTAACGCCCTCTGGCATACCTATTGTGAGAGCTGCCCTGTGCTACTCCAGGACTGAGAACAAAACACTTCAAGCCTGTGAAGGCCTTAATTAGTGCCATTTCTCCCCTCTTCTGAAGTGGACTATCTGCTGCTTGACACTTCGCGATACTCACAGCATTGTCCTAGGGAGTGGTAAGTCCCACACAAAGAAAGAGAGATCCAAGCTCCTCTAGAGCTCTCAAACTTGTCTAATTTTCATCTTTCAGATCGAACTCTTTGATCAGAAGCACTATATATATTTGTATTCCCTGGCAAAATACAGACACTTCACTAGATTCAGAGAGAAGAAGGCATAAGCCTGCAGCCTACGCAGGAGCCCGAGGGAATGGCAAAGCTACACATCTCTTAATACACATTTTTAGTGAATGTGTACTCCATACTAAGTCATGGCATTTTCTGTTCAGGTAGATTTACTAGCAAAGAAGAATTGATATTTATTTTACATGTATATGTATTAATAGACATTCTCTGTGGTTCTCTCTGACAAAGGGTAATCCAAATGATGAGCCTAGCTAGCTTCAGACAGAGTCTCTTCTACCTGAGCTTCACAAAGATGCAATGATGACAACTCCAATGACATCCATAAAAAGTTCTCTGCAACAGCTCTAGCTCATTAAGGCCTTGCAGAAGTGCTTCCAGCCATTGGCACAGCAGCTACAGAGGCTGCTGCCATCAACAAGAGTGTTCATACTTCCCTCGTGAAAAAGCCACTACGAGAGGTCCTTTGGACCCACAGCACCCAGTAGCTCCACCCTTGCTGTGCCCAGTCCAGCCCAGAACCCGGTACCCAACGTGTCTGAAACCCCTACCACCTCCTGCAGTTGCTGGCACTGGCATTTGTATGCAGGGAAATACTGCTGAAACAGAACTTAAAAGAACTGGTAAATAACTGATTGGAAATCACTGCTTTCAGAGCATGGAAAGCTTCCCTACCTGACATTTTTTCTCCAAGAGAGCAGTTTCACACGTCCAGAGGTCAAGCAGCACTGCAAATCGATCCACAGAGGCATGTGCCCAGCCAAGAAGGTTGCTGCCTCTGAACTGACCACAAGTTACATGGCCTAGGACAAAAAATAAACAGGCAGCAGGTATCTCCCAGAGAAACATCTACATAAGATGCCAGTCAGTTTATTAGTTTGTTTCTACTAAAAAAAGTAAAAGCGCAGCTCTTCTCGGTACAAGGCTGCCATCTGTCACGGGCTTGCCTTAGCAACCTTATACTATCTCCCTACAGTGTCTCTGCAAAGAGCAGGCATAGCAGGTTAGAGGTAATCTGTCTCTGCTGACAATATCATTCATATATTGTAATGAGAACACTGACAGATGACACTAACATTTCTATGGTAATACTTTTAAATAAATTAGGTGTTTTCTCCCCCTAAAACCGCTACCTGTCTGGCACCAACAGTTCATCAGCTCTTTCAGATGACCAACTCAATTTTCCTTTTAAAAAGAAAATCTGATAAAACAGCAGCAGATGCCAGGATCAGAGTGATTTCCACAGGTCTGGAGTCCCAGGGCTTGTGGTAATTCTTTCTATTCATAGCACAGGGCTGTGGTTTTTGCTTACCAGAGAACCCAAGGCCAGGAAAAGTCAAGTCCCACAAGCTTTGGAAGGCCATATAGTAAAAGCCAAAGAACAAGTGCACTAGGCACTTGATTTAACTACATCTCATCTATCTACCTTTTAACAAACATCCTTTGAGGTAAAGGGCAGGGGCTGAGTTCAGAGACCCGCACCAAGAGGTAAAGTCAGAGAAAGCACAAAAGAACTAACAGAGGAAAGAGAAAAGATGCTTAATTTTCCACATCACCAAATCATGTTGGAAGCATCTTCATCTCCTCACCTTCAGTCTCAGATCAAAGCAAATCAGCATAGACTACTCAAAGACAAATTTTACAATGAGATATACTAGAGTAGAATGCAGACCCAAAAGAGTGATTTTATTTTCAGAAGGCTTGCTATTAGAAAAGTCAATCTTTGTAATTTAAAAATGACTATGAAGGAAGGAAAAAGATCATTAGAAATATTTTTGTACTAGCAGTCCATGAGAAATCTATCTGTAGATAACTTACTTTTATCTTTCTCAATATACTGGCTGGTCACAAGAAGCAGCTGGTGCTCAAGCTCCTTCAGGTCCTTTAAAGCCACATCATATATTATATAAAGCCCTCGTGGATCCTGCGTGTGAATATATCCGCCTTCACTGGTATAAAAGTCATCGTGGTTTTCCACCTCCGCAAACTCCATGAACTGAGCACTATGGACCTGTGCCGTGAAAAATTCCCAGAGACATAGAGATGCAAGCAGTCAGTTCTACAAGGATTACAGTTCTGTATAGTCAACATAATCAAAAGTGGACCAGGCCTAAGGACGCGGCATTCTGTCACTAGTAGAGAAACAATAAAATAAAATATAGCGCCCCTCCCAATTTTTTTTTAACAGGTAACCTCCACTGTGGCTTCATTTATACTATCAAGGGGGGACACAAACTGCACGATTTTCTGTTGTGAAATTTTTCCTTCAGGCTTCTAAATCCACAAAAGCGCCCAGGAGGCATCAAAGCTGGTAGATTAGCTCTTGGCCTGAGGTAGAACTTTTTTTCCCTATTTTTTAATTTAGTACAAATTTTGCAAAGCTGTCCTAATTTTGATATTCAGATATGCAGTCAACACATTTTTAAAGCCTTTTGGATAAGTAACACTTGTAAGATTTGAAAGTAAGCGCATATAAGCACATATAAGCAAATCATCACTTATTATAAGGAACACCCAACGACTACTGTCCCAAATTACTGGGAGGTCAGCGCTTGTTCAGGAGGATAAATCTCATGCTTCTAAAAACCATCCGCATCTTTAAAAGAAAATCATCTACTTTGCCACTGAATCACTACTTAGCTTGATAAAACCCCAGGCATGACCGCAGGACTACTGTTAGTAGAAGTGGCATTAAATTTCAGGATATTCTGTTTCTTGACTAGGAGTGCCATAAAGGGAATTACACACATCTATCTCAAGGTATATAATCACGGAAGTTAATCTCCCAGTGGAAAGAAACCCTTAGCAGACAGGTACAGCAGCACAAGCCTTTAAAAATGGCTATTGTCAGAAGATAGCAAATAAATACAAGCTTCTAGTTTTCACCCTGTCTTTATTATTTCCTTGTATGTAATGCACCTCCATTCTCACTTGTAGTGCCAAAGAACGATATATAATATCCTCCTTCCTCCTTTCACTGGCTTTCCTAACATCTGCCTTTACAAAATCTCCAATGCAACCCAAACTTTACCTGCTAGCACCTGGCTCTCTCTTAAAATTGTATTAAGAGAAGGGATGGAGAAAAGGAAAAAGCATTCATTTTCGTCATGGAAATCCTAGCAGTCAAACAGTGTGTAAACTGCAGAGACCTATGCTGGATCCGAATTCATTCTTTACCAGAAAGTTAATAAGGCAGCCCTGCAAAAATGTGTCTTATTAAAAGGCAGTGTTAGATTAGCCCGGTCAAAAAGAGTCCTTTCCTCTTTTTGATAAAGGGTTCTGTGCTCTTTGTTCTCTCCTTATTCTTCTGAACAGAATATTTACTTCACTGCTCTCAGTGACAGGGTGCAGAATTTGCTAAAGGTTAAATCAAAGCCTTTTACAGAAGAATTAGATTCAACTTGATTTATGTAACTAACTGAGCAAATAGTGGGCTGACTTCACCATAACAGATGGAAGAGGATTTTTTCTGTTTTGTTTTTAAACATCATCACGGTAAAGATTCATTGAAATGCCTCCACTTTCAATCCCTTGAATTTTTCAGTGATTCCTGCTCTATCCCACTCCTAGAGAGCTCAGTAAAGACTATTGCATTCTGCAGAAGAAGCATGTGATTATGTAACTGGAGAGTTATAAAACAAAATCAGAAAGAAGTGAAAACTATCGCCCTGCAGTGTTTGTTTTGGGAGCCATATTTTAAAGAGACTCTCCAAGTCCTCTAAATACCATACATGCCCACAAAAAATGTTAATACCCACAGTTACATCTCTGCACCAACAAATCAAGTGACTAGATACTACATGCCATTTTATTTGCTTGCAAGTTTCGTTTTTCCTCCTCTAGATCTGCTCAGATTTACTGGAGCTTAACAAATCCCCTTTGGGTTATAAAGCAACTTTCATGCTCTTCCATATATTTTATCTACTTTCTTCCAAGCTGAATCTTAACATGTGGCAGAAAAGAGTTTTAAATTTATTTAAAAGCATTCCACAGCTTGAAGTTCCTTCTGTCCTAAAATTGAAACTCATGCCTCTAATGATCCCCATCCCAAGCAGTCCACTAGTGAGGGTGAGAAACTGGCTTAGAATCTAGGATATATATACTTATTGCTTGGCATCACATCAGCTCATAGCTTACAATTTTGAGAGATTTGTAACACATACAGTCATCCAATTTTGGACATAGATTACGTGCTAAAAGTATTTAACAAAACCATGCCATATGCTCCTAGTTTATAGCACAAGTCAGAGAGCAGGGTAGATAGGTCTCAATTAGTTTGCCAGGAGAATGGCTCCATTATTGTTACAGTTCTTGAGAGAGAGTCTGTGCAGTGTATTAAAAAAAAAAAAAGCATTAGAAACTGTTGTTAAGGAAATACTGATGTCTGTGCTTCTAAATCCATTGCCAATTAAACTGTAATAGAATTAGTTAATATTTATCTAGGCTTTAGTTTAAGTTCAAGCTTATATATCAGTACCCATGTATTAGCGTGGAGGAAAGAGAGGCCATTGTGAAAAAATATCTCATTGCCAGGGGCTCTCTGAAGTGTTCAACAGCTAATCACCACATCAAAGAGTGCTTAAATGGAAGGTCAGAATTGATCTTTGCATCATTTCTCCCACTTTGCAACAGATAAAAGGGAGTGAAAATAAAGATATATTACACAAAGCAACAGAAGCAGAAGAAGAGCTTGTCTTCTCCCTTTCCAAAGAGAGACACTTCTCATTGGAAAGGATAATTTTTTAATTACTTTCTCTGACTTTAAAACTTGATGTTTCCGAGTCACCCAGTGCAACATTTTCTAAGTGGAAAACCCCAGTTTTCTTGTTCCAAGCAGCTTTTAATTTAGGAAGTTTAACTGGTTAGATTTGCAAAAGACAAACATCATCAGATTAGAAATAAAACTACTAAATTACTTCAAAAATATGATCCACGCCATGTCTGCCTCACACGTTTTATTCTTAAAGAGTCTTAGACTGTTTTCATGTTTAGGGACAGGAAGTTTTGGGGGGATTTTTTAAAGTCTTAATGTAAGCAAAAAATGGGAGCAGGAAGCCGACTCCCTTTTTAGTTCTAGGCCTAATTCTCTCATGAAGCAGTTCATGTTGGTGTTTCTACAGCAAAAAAGATAAGTTTTCAGTAAATGAACAATAAACATGAGCTCAAAATGTTGGCAAATATACTGATCAATATGCTATTGTGCTTCTTTAGGATTTCTACACAAAGACTTTAGCATGACTGGTACGTAGCAGAGCGGCAAGGAGATTTTGCAGCTGAGAAGAACAAACTTCATGTCATATCAAACCACTAATACCAGCATAATATATTGTTTAGTATATTTTACAAAAAAGTGGGGGAAATCAAAGTATGATAAGGCTTAGGAATTTAACTGGAATTATTTTTCCAATCTGTAAAGCCAAGCATACTATTTATACTACTTCAGTCACACATTGTCATCCGAGATTAAAAAACAATGAACCCTAAACTGTACCTAAAACTAAATAATTCATTTTAGAAGTTATTAACAGTTACTTAAACAAGCATTTGCATACATTGTAAAATGCCTGTAAAATTTCCTAGCGCTAGAAACATACACTCGGCGATGATCCAAAACATGCAGAAGTCCTAGTATAAGCATGGCCAGCAGCACAAGTCTGAATTCATGTTCATCTGGCAGGCATTAGGTTTCTCAGACATTTGTTACTGACCTCTGGTAGAGAAAGGCATCAGATTGACAAGGGCGAGACTCATGGTCTTGAGGTTACACTAAATACCTGAGCTGATTCAGCAGTTTATCAGAATAGAGTCTGTGTGGAAGAGGTAAGCAGGCTGGCAGTTGCAGGGAGGAACGTAATGCACACTTCTGCTGAAGCATACACTTTGGAAGACTTAAGGCAATGTGGTTCCTCACCTTGTAGTCAGCTGGTGTGTAATGAATATAAGGCTGAGAACTGAGGCCACCAGAAACACCAATGCCTCCTTTGGCAGCACTGACCCAGCAGGTATCTTCTGCGCTGGGAATTAAATTACCCGCTTTAAAGGACAGGCCAGCAGTACTGATGGTCAGGGTTCTCTCCACGGATCTGAAGTAGTTCAGGAACCCCAGGCAGACTCGCTGAAACAAACAGAAGCACAGATACAATTGCATTAGCAGTTGGATGACAGTTCCTTCCTTAAAACATTAACCCTGATTCATGCAGATTTTATTTCATTTTATTTTTTTACCTGTAGCTCTCGGATTCTCAAGTGACGCAGGTAAAGAACTGACAAGTAGGCTCCTTTCTTCAGCACGTGCTCCTTGTTGACAACTTCTGTTCCTTCCTCTAATCCCAGTAGCTGAAAGGTGGTCGTATAACTATACCTTTTTCCAGACAGGAAAAATGTAATTACATTACTGTTCCTCAAGGAGATTTCTAAACCTTTCTAAAATAAACAGTTTCACTCTGTCTGTTGTCTAAAAGGATGCTACTGCCTACAGGACTCACTGTCATAGAAACCTACAATATAAAATAAAAAAAGAGAAAAGGTGTCAGAGAAATTCTTCTTTCAGGTTTTATAAAACATATATATATATATAAAAACAAAATTTTACCCTCTTTTGTTCTTTCCGGAGGATTCTGGAGGCTTACTGGGGCTGGTATTTTCTACATCCTCCCCACTGTGAGCCACAGCTGCGTTATCATCATCTTCAGTATTTAGTTCCTAGTTCCAACATACATATTTAAAGATTGTTTGGTTGATTATGCATATGTTTCTTATTTGCCAGCTTTATATGGAGACTTTATCATAACCGGAAAAAAAAGGAAAGGAAAAGAATTGCCTTACTGGTCAAATCCATAGTCCGACCAATTGTGAAATTACTGTGCCATATACCACCATAATAATTGATTACTTTCTAATCCTTAGCATTTTATCCTTATAAAGTCCCTGGGCTTATGAAAATACTATCCTTATTTTAAAGATGAGGCTAAGGGAAGGATCAGATCAAGGAACTTTTCCAGAGAAACACAGAAAATCTGTTTCACCAAAATTCAACCCAGCCATGTTGGGTTACAAAACTGACCTATCAGTTCATCCTTCTTCCTCTTTCCACAACAAAAAAATGACTTCTGACCTTCAGCAGATCGTAAGACGAGCATGAGCAAAGTGATAGCGTATCAACAAAGAAGCAACGTCAGACTGGGCTGCAGAAAAGTCTTACTGCAATGTTGAAACACCATCAGACGCAAGACCTGCAAAATAATCCTTTGGCTCCCACTCTCTTGGATCTCAGTTGCAGCACTATGGCCAGCACTGGGCATATTCAGGAAAGCTGCAGATCACTTGAAGAAAGCCCGAAGGAGGGCATTAAGGAATGATCTATGGCCTAAAAAGCTTCATCTGTGAGGAAAGGTTGAAAGAACAGAGCTGTCCAGCCTACAGAAGTAACAGACATGGGTTTAAATTTCAATTGGAGGGATTTAGGCTTGATAAGAGGCCGGGTTAGGACAGCGAAGCCCTGGAACAGATTTCCTGGTATTCTCCTAACTGTGGAGTCAGCCATGTAGAGGCTTGCAAGTAATCAGGCAAACATCTGTCAGGAATGACATAGACAAAGGATGGACTAGATGACCTCTCAGAGTTTCTTCCAGCTCTACTGTCTTTACCATTTCCCAGTCTGGGGGTTTTCTTTTGTTTTATTATTCAGTTTGTCAGAAGTGTTGAGGTCTCAAAGCTATTAAGCTAATAAGATTCACGAGAGTAGGCAGCTGGCTAGAGAAGAGAGACCTAAATTACTGCTTTCAGCAGAGGAAGGACAGGCAGAACTTATCAACATTTCTGGAAGCTGCAGCTGACCACTGACTGCTGTTTCTTCACGTATCTGGGACATTGCAGGATTTGGGGTTCAGATAGTGGAAGGGCTGCAGAAAAAAGACACAATCTTTAAGAAAGCAGGCTTAATCAGTTCTGCTGCTTACTGGACAAATTGGGTTATTGTGGTTTTTTTGGAGGAAAGATGGCATTTTTATTAAAACATACAGGATATGGGACCTGAGCTCTGTTTACAGCTGTGTTAGCAAGTCATAGGTAAGTCATGTAAATTCTC